TGTAAAGAAAAAGAAAAAACATGAAATGTGTTCTGTAGATCTAAACGGGTGTCTAATGATATACCCCTGCAGAATGCAACCGAGGCCACCATGAAAACAAGCTTGACGAGTAACACAGGCCGACAGATGAAGAGGTTTCACACACACGGTGGCTAAAGCCTGAGGTACTTAGAGCGTATTCAGTCATCTCCAATACTGACAGATGATATGAAGCCTTGTCTGCATTGATACCAGAAAAAAGCACTTCAGAGGACTCCTGTATAATTTTGCAAAGACGTTTAAAGGCTCCACAGTTTGAGTTCCCTGCCTGCTGGTTGTTCTTCCCCTCTCTGTAATATTTAGCAGCAGATAAGCTCTCTCTCTTACATTAGTGTGCTACATCACTGCCAGCTAGAGGAATGGGGGGCCTTTCCTCCTATATGTGATACAGTTCCTCCCTGCCAAGCTCAGCCACTGCCACTATCATTCGGCTGCTGACGACTTTGGGTCTCAGCCATTTTCTGCACCTGCCAGACTCATAAAGAATCCCCCTGTTCCTGCGGGAGCCCCAAGGCAGGATCTGCCACAACTGTTAAGGACGTTGCGATTTAAACATTCAAGCCAAAGCTTTGACTGTCAGGGATGCCAACGATTTGGCAGATGGTCGGTTTTGTTCGGCTGATCCCATCAGCAGGGTATTTGTGGTGTTAAGATGAATGAGTGGTTAGGATTTGTCACAAGGGGTTAAAAAAAAAACAACCAAACAAATACAAGTATGCCTTGGTTTTACATCAGGGAAATGACCTGCTGTTAACTGATATGTCTCCGTCTTGGCTAAGGGCTGCTTTTCTAAGAGCTCCTTGAGTTTTTAGCTCAGAAAATTTTGAAGTGGATTGAGTGGACATCCGTATTCAAACCTCCTCTCACTCTGGGCGTACAGAGACTCCTGAGAAATAAACAAATGAGTCTGTCTCTACTTTAGCAGAGCGTTGTGTGGCAAAAATTTCATGCAAAATGACTTTTTGTAATGCCATCAGCTAAATGAGGCACATGAAAGACATAATGATAAGACATGAGATATACCTTTGTTTCTCCATTGTGGGAAGATTTGGTTGAAATGAGCCGTGCAGAAATGTATCAGGCATTCGAAGCTATAGTCTTATTTAAAAGGCACATTATTACTTCTATTTTTAAATATCAGCAATATATTAACTGCCTTTTTTAGCTTAACAATACAAAAGCTATAAACATACTAAAATAAGGCAAAGAGAAACTGACAGGATATGGATATTTTTCTTAAATCATTATGTAGGAACTTCTTTACAGTATTGCTATATTGCTTTTTGAGAAAGTTTGGTCTGAGCCACAGGTGTTTGAGACATAGTTTCATAGATAGAGTGGTACAAGGTTAACTTTATTGATACCTGTAGGTGGATTTGTTTTGCAGTCTGGAAAGGGGAATCTCAAACATGTTGAACAAACCTTAAAAATAAAATGCAGACGTTTATGATCTACTTACTGTAATGTAGCCAGGTCTGGATCAGCAGCCCCTAAACCCCTTTGTGTTGGTAGGTGTCTATTTATTACCATTTCTTGTAGAGTATCATCTCTACTCAGGGTATTTTCCAGATGTTCGGCGCTTCAAGGTCCAAAACACACCACTTGCAACAGTAGTAGCCATTCATGTTTTCCCCAATGTCCTTGGTAGGCCCTTGGCTGGTCCCTTACATTTATTTTTTAAACATCAGTCTTCGTACTAAAATATTATTTTTGTCATGATTTGTGCACATTGCATTAAAAAAAATATGCAAGAGGGAATCCCTCCAGTTTTGGGAAGTTGGAGGGGATTCTGCAGGGAGTTGCAGGGAAGAGCCATTTTCAATGGCTGCTTCTGTACACTACACCTGCTGATCCAATTTCTTTAAAATAAATAAACTCTGTAAAGCCTGTTGACCGTTTCTAGCGGCATTGAGTGTTTATGGGAGAGTATGCCCCTCCATGATTCAATACAATACTGAGCGTTATACATCAAAAAAGATTGTTGTTCACTTTTCTTTCTGTATGTCCAAATTTCTATCATTGGTAGGTGCACTATATATTGAAATCTTTAATTATTTGTATCATTTAAATCTGTGCGATAAATATTTGCACATTAGTACAGTATTACCTATCAGTTTAAGTTTTTGTGGATGCGCCTTGTTTTGCCACTGCATCTTACTTCCTGTCTGACTCTGTCAAATTGCTGCATAGGTCTGACCAAAGCAGACCCAGTTGGAGAAGCATTGAGGAAGAATGGCAAGCTGTCTGCGCGCCTCCATTCACTTCAAGGTTTTAGATTTCTATGGACATCATTTGACACAATAACTAGTGATAAGGTATGCCGTTATAGATGCACTTTTAGATGCAGCTCTGCAAGTTCTCAGATTTATTCTTCACGGAGAAATGAAGTTTTCTCTGAACAAGAATTTGTTTTTATGATTTTTTTTTTCCTGATTGTCTGGTTGTTAACTCATCTGAAGCCTAAAACTGAATGATGGAATTAACAAAGTTGTCCATTATTTGGGAGATGGCCAGATTTCCTAAAAGCTTGCTATTTATGAACTTCTATCACTGCTGAATGATGGACCTCCTGTTGTTTGCAAATAGTCTTGTGACCCTTCCCAGATTGATGAAAGCAGCATTGTCTTCTCTAACATTGCTTCTGGCTTTCCACTTTAGATCTCCCAGTTTGGTGAAGTGCATTTGAATACGTATTTACAGAATTTTTTACTTGACGGTTGACTTAAGTGCACTGTATTTTATTTTATTGTTTGTTTTGTTTTTTAAGACATTGAAGCCCATAGGCATGATTTAAAAAAAACAAAACAAAGTACAGTGATTTCCAATTCAGGGCAAAATCAAAAAAATCTCAAAATCAAAACAACAGATTTCACTTTGTTGTTATTCAATAAACAAGAATAAAAAGCAATGGGTGTGTAAAACCTGGGAAACATCCCAGTAATTTGGAAAATACATATCAATAAAAGACCTGTTTGTCAGGTTAAAAGTACCTTTTAAAACATATCCTTTAAGCAGCTGTTAAACATAGCCTTTATTAATTCCATATATCTGTAAATAACATGCATTCTTGTTGGTAGGCGGATTAATCTTTATAATGTATTTCTTTTTGTAAATAAAATGACTAAAATCAGTGAAAAATGCTCCAATTTTGTACAATTCACCCCTTTTATGTGGTGTTCAACAGCATGCAAAACATTCCTTTTATTCTATTGTACTTTATCATTTAATCAAGGGTTTTCTCTATGTCATTCTTTTAATCTGTTAGCAGACAGGATGCTCCAGTTAAATTGGCAGCTCTAATACATATTAAACACATTGGTGGAACTATAAACATCTTTTTGAACTTGTGTGAGTCCTTAGCATTGTGAAACGACTTTGACATCCTTTTTTTTAAACAACTTTTTTCCTTTGATTCAAAACCTGCTTTTTTCAGAAGGACAAAATCCCATTTTCAGTTTGAACATTTGAGTATGGCTGACTCATTGACTGGAACTCTGGTTTTTCTTTTCTTTTTATTACTATCCTGAGAAACGTTAACATTTAACATGCTGTCTGAGTGGAGCAGAGTCTGGGCTGGAACTCCTGGGGTTTTTGCAATTTCTCCGAACATTCGTGCTCTGACCTTGAGGCGAAGTTGTTGCATTGTCGACACTTTAGAAGATTGGCAGCTGGCTTAGACCTTTTCCACCTGTGAATAATTTTTTCTTAGTATATCGTAATAGACTTCACATTGATAGAAAATGTCCCTAAAATCCAGGGGAGCTGGAATAAACTTCTACGCTTACACAGTCTTTGCAGTGGTCATAGCATTGCGTTAGCAAACACAGTTGTATGCTTCAGAGCAGAAAACAAACACAAATCCTACTTAAACAATGATGAGTCTGTGCATTTTAATTTTCACTGCCTAGGTGCCCTGTAGGTCATGATAAAAACTGCAGATTATGATCTAAAACAGGTAAGATCACTAATATCTATACATTTTTGACTGCAATAGGTTGTTCTGCTGCATTGCTCCTTCATTTATGTGTCCTGTCCTCATCTCAACCCATCCATATGTACCAGGGCTTTCCCTGCTCCCTTTCTCTGTCTGGAATTACTGGAAAAAGTGAGGAGTGGGCAATGCAATCTAAATGTGCAGCTTTGTCTGAGCAGGAGGGGGCTCAAAAGAAAAAAAAAATATGGGATGAATAAAGCGCCATTGACAAAATGCAAACACGAGTCAGTCCCTGTCCCCCTCAGGACCCATTGTCTCTGAGTGCTAGACGCCAGCAAAGGACAGGAATCTGAAGAGAGGGTGGACAGTGAGCTAAGAGTCACGGCTTTGTTTGGACGGCTGGCCTCAGACCCGGTCAAAGTGCACGCAAAGGAGAAAGAGGGGCGAGACATGGAGATGGAGGAGAAAGCACCGGATTTATTCGGCTAAATTGGAGCCATGTTTGTTGAAATCTTTTTAGTTTTTTTATATACCGAAATAAATAATATGAAACTGAAAACATAAGGATTTGGCACAGAAATGTATTTCTGAAACTAAAAAACTGTTTTTATTTAGATTGGCATTCATCCTTCATGTAAATACAGACCAAACCTCTTATCATTCCCTAAGTGATATTTTCACATGAGCAGCCAGATCCTCTGCAGATGGCCATGATTCCCTCTCACCTACACTCCAAGTGTTAATCAGCGCTCAATCACTGGATGACGAGGGTCTAATTTAACATGTTGCATCCATCATGTGGAAATGCTGCTTAGAGTTTGCAAATTCGCCCCAAGTTGCTCATTGTTCACACAATTAATTCAGCTACTGTATAGAGCAGCTTGCTTTTTTTTTCTCCCACTTCCACAGATAATGCATATTCATTGGTTTCAGGGAGATTAAAAGCAGAGCAATAAAGGGTAGTGTTTGGTGCGTCGAGGGGTGTTCTGAGAAAAGGAATGGGCCGGGCCTGACCTGAGCTGAGGGGTGTGGTTGGGTATAAACCAGGGGACAGTAGGGTTTCTGTTGTTGTGCTGTTCTGAAGCCGTCTCTCCTGGCATCCTGCTCTCCTTTTAGCCATTTTTTCTGGTTTTCCCTTTCCTTCCACTCAGGCTCCCAGCTGAGTTGGGATTCTTCCTTGGCAAAATCCTGTCAAGGTTGCTGCATCCATCCATTTTTAGGGCGGAATCAGAAACAGAAGCCAGAAAACCATGCTGAGAGTTTTGGCGCTGGCATCAGTCGTCCTCCTGGGAATAGGTAATAAAATAAATCATCTTTTCACTTTGGAATTTCATTTTTGATGAGCTAACCAAAAACTTTTTCCTGAATTTCATTTTTCAGTAGAAGATGTTTTCTCACTGATGTGAGATCAAAGTTTAAATGAGAGATTTTCTCTCATTGTTTACTTAAAAACCAAAAACTTAGTGGAGATAAAGGAAGAAAACAGCCTAAGTATTGAGTCATGGCCATATTCTGCAGTGAGTTTGAACTTCACTGATGTAGTTTAATTACTTTTTTGGATTAGCTGAACTGATATTAACTACGATTCATCAAAAATGTCTTTCATGGTTTTACTGCATCTGAGTTCTGTTATTAAACATACGTATTGATTGAAAGTAAGAGCGAGTGGGATTGCAGAGTATCGAGGAACACTGGTGAAAGATGTCCTAAGTTAACCTTGACGTTTTGTGAGAGTGAGAGTACATTTGATGGAAAAATACATCACATATGGGGTTCCACAAGGCTCCACTCTTAGACCATTTTTATTCATGCATTAATCCATTGGCAATGGAGTATTAAAATAAAATCTTCTACCATATGTTAATTCCACAAAACTAAAATATTTCTGTCAGTGCATGATCACAAGTCCTTATCATTGCTGAATTTAGTATTCAGTGTGCTCTGATGTGCTTCAGCTTAATGCTAAAACAAAGAACTTTTTGTTTTTGTTCCCAAACTGCAAGATTAACTCTAAGCACTGAAGTAGATTTAGTGATTCAAAAAAATATATATCTTTGCGTTAATTCACAACACTTGTCCTCTCAAGGTAGTTTGCAGAGTTACTTCAGTCAAATAATACAGATTGGTGAAAAAGGTTTTTCTTCTAAGGAAACCCAACATATTGCATCAAGTCACTGACTTAAAGAATTTACTCCTCCTGGATTTTGCAGCAATCCATGGTATTGAGCATGCATATAGCGACAGTGAAGTGAAAAACTCTTAACAGGAGGAACCAAGCTCATACTTTACTTTAATGCTAAAAAAGGAAATGTAGACCTGCTCCTCAGGTGGCGTTTATAGGAAGAAACATGTTTAAGCAGACGAGCTTTGAGCCAGTTTTCATTCAAGAGGTTGAACGATAGCACATACTGTATAGTAGAAACTGCATGTGCTCTCAGGCTAAATGCTAGAAACACAGCTGTTGTTTTGGTCTCTGACTTAAATTCTAAGATTCAAAATTTTGTCCATTACTAAATCATCCAGCTAGAATCTTAAAAGCATTGTTGGAATTAAAATTCTGCCTGTTTTTGGGTAATATTTCAATCTTTTTCTAACTTCATGTTTGTTTTTTCAGAGGATTTGGAATCAGAAAGGTTAGAATCATAATATTAAAAAAAAACTTTGAACTCAAAGGTTAAAAAGAATATTAATATTAATACAGTGAATTAAATTTTACAATAATAATTGACAAAGTTATGTAATTGAGAATTAACCAGGACTCTATTTAGAAATACATTTCCTCAAATAGTGCAGAATGTCGTCCTAGCTTTGCAATCATGCATATTTATAGGAATTATTACATTGGTTATCTACAGTAGACCCTGTGTTGGAGTTTAATCAGCAGTTGGTTTGTCATCAATTGTATTATAACTCAATCTGCTCAATCTTAAAGATCAGATATCAGATTTTGCCAGACCCTTAAAAACATGAGACTCTATTGTTTGACTTACATTTCAATGTTACTTCATACAACTTAGAGGGTTTTCCATCAGTAGCATAACTTTTCTTAAACACATCTGGTTTCAGTTTGCCATTATAAACCTCTTAATGTCATACTTTAACACAGTTTCTTAGCTTTTTTTCTTCTAATAAATAACCTTATATTAAACTAAACCAAAAGTGCTCCAACTTATCAATATAAAATGTATCTAAAATAAGTATTAGACTGAATAACTCTAAAAAGAAACTGTTAAACGCTTGATTTGCAACACTCCTGCATCTTTACTTATAAGCAGAAGTCTGTAGCAAACGTTTCATAAATAAACAGACATTCTTTGAAACCTTGTTAACAACATATTCTTGTATCTAACCATATAAAAATCCATAACACAGTCAATTGTTGTTTTTTTTTTTTAGGTTTAATCAATTTACTAATGTTCTCGCCAACACTAAGAAAATGAGTCATACTATATTTCCAGTCATTAAATTACTGCACTGGCTTCCTGTTTGCAAAAGGATTACTTCTATAATGGAAGTAAAGGCTTAAGTGCATCCCAGAGTTTCTTCTCAGGAATGAAAAAGCACCTCAGAGCATCAGAGGACTCCTCAGTTAATGCTCCTGGTACCAGAGGTAAACAATGAGGAACATACCTCTCAGTTCTGCAACGTCTTGAAAACCTAAGATAAATAAAAACTGTTGGCTCCTTCAAATCAAGACTGAAAACCTGGCTGATTACTGCAACCTTCCCATAGCTGGTTTATAGCATTAAATATATCAGCTATTTATTAATTTGGATTTAATCACCTCAGTTTGTGGTGCTTTAAAAAAAAAAAACTGCATTATCTATATAATTTTTTACATATTTTTCTTACGTTTCTTTTTTATTATCCTCTAAAATAACTTTAAATTACTAAATATGTAAGTTTGCCTTGTGTTTTTTTTTTTTTTTGGTGCTCAGCTGCAGCAGGTGTGTCCTTGCTTCGAAATCAGTGGAGCACTAATATTCTGATTTTAAACTGAGGTATGACTGACAAGAACACCCCTACCTCCCTACTTCTCACTCTTGTCAGTTATTTTTAATTTTTTGGTTTTGTTTTTGTTTTGTTTGTCTGAATTCTAATTAAAAACGTCAAGATGGATTTCATTGACAAGCCGTGCAGGGCTCTATGATATCGCTGGAGGGCGTTCACAGTGAAAGCTATAAACTTCACTCAGGTTTTCAAAAAGGCAAACGTCTGTGTGACTTCGAAGCTCAAATACTGCAGCTGTGATGAAGCTGTGACCTGCTGAGGATCATCCAATGAGCAGAAGTGAACTGTACCAGGATTATGCTCCTGAATGGTGCACCTCGCTGGAAGTTTCCAAGTAGTATGTGATACTAAGTGGAGAGTTTGTTTTTTCATTTTTTGGGGGAATGATCAGGATTTGTTTTTAATTTTTGCAGCCCAAACTAAATTATTATTGATTCTAAATGTTTTTTATGCATAAATTGGGCAGACAGTTAAGCCAATATTATCCAAATTGATGGTAGGAATCATAGTCTCCTTTGACTTTTAGATTATTAGACCTTAATCCAGCAACTATTGAGTGCAAATGTGAATCAGTGGAGTTTCTGACAACACAAAATTTACACTTATTCAATCTGAGTGTGCATGTCTAATTATTTTTGGAATCATGATATTGATTTAAAAAGCTACTCATTAATAAGATGATAAGAAATTGACTAAAGCAGCCCAAAAATAATAAAACGTTTTCTGTATTCTGAGACATAAAAAAAACAAATTTGCAAACTTGCACTTTATTGTACTTCTTGCTGAGCTTGACCCAAACTCAACCTGTTTTTACACCTGCTTTGTGTCATGCAGCCCCTGAGGGGTCCCAGGCCATATCCATTTACACAGGGTGGGAGCGCCATGCGTTGGTGGGCTCTGACATCCGACTGTCCTGCAGCTTCTTCTCCTGGCGCTTTGTCTCTGACGACGTCTCCTTCAGCTGGAGTTACAGGCCGGATGGCTCAAGGGAATCCATCGCGGTAAAGCTACCATTTACATTCACACACATGCTGCACCAAATCCCCAACTGTGTCAGCACAGGTGGACTTGCAAAATGTACAGAAACAAAAAACTCTTTCATTTTATAGAAGCATTGATGAGCGAGTTGCTTTCTCCACCCTCATCATATCTGCAGCTGTTTCAGAGAAAAAGATCCAATAAATCACTGTGCACTATATTTCCACGAGCCAACAGCAGACAAACAAAAGATGGTAACAATTTCTGAAATAACAGAGCATTTACTGGCTGAAAACACCTCTCACTGAGCCACAAAAAGAGCCAGCGCTCGCATTTTCTCCTTTCTGCTTAAATAAGAGCCTTGTGTGTTTCCTACTCACCACTTCAGGCCAAATTTTGGTCACAATGAGAACCATTAAAAGCCATCTAGACTTGCAAACAATGATTTCATTTTCCGTCAAAGCTCTGTTTTGTTTTGTCTGCCTCTGCCAGGCACAAAGAGGAGCAGAAATGTAGCCAGAAGGGCTTTTCTAAAGGGCTCTTTCTTTAAGAATAGGAAAGCATTTTGAAATCAAAGCAAACCTTATTAGGACTGTTGCATGCATACGTTCTAGTTTTAAGCAGCTAATAAGAGAGCTTGGCTCCCATTGCTGTCTGCATTGTCAGTGATTTACTAACGTGAATTAGTTGAAGAAACTTTCTGCCTCTCCTGCAGCACCCTCCTGCACTTTAATTTCACTCACCCTACTCTTATCGCTTCATCTCTCTAATCTCTCTATCTCCCCATCCTGACCATGCCTCCCTCTGTCCAGCTCACCTAATCTCCTCCTCTCCAGCCCTGCCGTCTTTGTCCCCGTATCCTCTCTCATAACTTCTTCCCCCTCCTCCTTCGCTTTTATCTTTCCACCGACAGCGTCCTCACTTTGAAACTGAGCTTTTCATTTTATTTACCAACCAATCTTCAGTCACTCATTTTTACCCCAACCTTGAAAGATCGACTTCTTTCTTTTTTTGTCCTTTTAAAGTGTGGTAATTGCTTTTAGAGATGTGGATAGAAACTTTACCATCAGTCCGCTCATGTCGGGGTTGAGACATTAAACAAGTCAGTTACTAATTCAATAAATATGAAGAGCTAAAGTGCAAAAAAAAGATATTTACAATGGAAAAACAATATAGAAATAAGTACACATTTCTTAAATTAAGTGTTTTTACCCTGAATTTGAGCAGATAAATTAGATGTTTGCCAATGGAATTAGTATTTTTACTCTTAAAATAAGATAATTAGATAATGTGCAATTGAAATAAGACAATGCAATTTATTTTAAGTGTAAATTGTCTTGCTCCATTGGCAAAGTTTCTCACAAACCTCCTCAATTCAAGAACAAATGCACTCATTTTAAGAAAAAATGACTTATCTAGATTTTCATTTTTTCCAGTGTACAGCTTTTTGTGATTCTTTAACATTTGCTTGTATTAACCTCTCAGGGAACAAAGGGAAAAGAACTATTATAAAAGCTTTTTTTTTTACTTAATGTAAACAACTGGTATATATCTAACATAAAATATAAACTATGCATAACTTTAACACTATAGTCCATTTTTCCTCAATCTCAAAAAGAAAGCTTATCTAGAATCACGATATAGGCACATGGATTGATGCAGGTTTGCCCAAGGTTGAACGGGGCCCACAGAATGGAGGTTGCCAAGCTTTCTTTGTCTATGACCTTGAGAAAAAATATAATGGTTTGAAATATTTGCACAGGTATGTAGGTACATTGTATTATACAGTTAAGTTATTTTTCCATTCAAAGTAGAAAAACAACATTTAATCCCTCAGCTTTTGAAAGAATAGCACATAATAATTAATACTGTAAATAATATCTGAGCATCAAATATGGCTGAAACGTCGTCCTGTATGAATCGATTTCCATTTACTGTCATACCACAAATTCAGATTGATCAGTGACTCCTGAGAGCTATTAGTCAATGTTACCTTCTCTTTCCTCCCCAGATTGCCCACTATGCCGGTGGTGAGCCCTACACTGACAACAAAGGCCCTTTCAAGGACAGAGTAGAGTTTGTGGGCAACCCGAAGAACCGTGATGGCTCCATCCTGCTTAAAAACCTGGATCTTAATGACAATGGCACCTTCACCTGCGACGCCAAGAACCCCCCTGACATCGTGGGCCGCCCCTCCAGCGTCAGACTGCTGGTCTTTGAGCAACGTGAGTTAGAAAATCATCAAGCGCCAAGTAGCTTGCAAACTTCTTCATCCCTTCTAGGATTTTTCACATTTTATCACATCACAGTTTGTTGTGCATCTTTAAAGTAGAGCATTAATAAATAGAACATGCCTCCTTTGAAAAATCCTATGAATTTTGTATGCATTGTTGTAGTTTGGTTTCCCTAAATAGAATCCATAAAAATCATTCTCTATAAAAGTGACCTAATGAGTGAAAAGTGTCCACTTGTGTGTTAAATAATCTATAAATGCCTCTGTAGTTTGATAGCGCACACTAATAGACAAATAGCATCTTGAAGAACAAATAACACAGCAGACAGGTAAAGAAGATCTTTCTAGAGACGTCTAGACCAGGGTTAGGATATACAACCATATTTCAAATAGCATGTGCATGATTACTCTGATGGAGCTTCAAAGAACCATGGCTCAGGTAGAAAAAATCTGTTGACAGACTGCAGAAATGAGGACAAACAGCCATTGGATGTCTCATTAAGGCCGTGCATTAAACTATCAGTCTGTGTTTTAGCCAGATTGGACCAAAATGGACCAAAATGTTTACTGTTTGGAGAAAACAAGCACTACACATCAGCTTAAATACATCATCCTGAGGGGACAAATGGTGCTGGCAATCTTATGGGGCAGCTTTTCCTTCTGCAGGGACAGAAAGGCATGGTAGGGCTAATGACAAGGCATTCCTGGAAGACTAGCTTTTACAGGCTGTATTAGATTTGAGACCTGGTCTGATGTTCGACTTCCTGCATGACAGCCAGACAATTTAGGTTTAATCGTGTTTGTGTCAGAAAATGGCTTAAAGTCTTAAATCCAACCCTTTTTTAAAGATTTTATTTACACAAACAAATAAAAAAAAGGGTCCACCATTATCAGTTCCTCCCTGTTGGTCTAAATAAGTACAATGAAGATTCTGGTTTTGCGGTGTTAGAATGCAAGGCAGTTCAAGTTGTATTAGAAGCTTTAAAAAGCTGATTTTGTTCTGCATGTCTCAGTAATTTTCATTCTATTGGAAAGCAAATATTCCCAGATTGGTGTAATCATTCCCAGCTCTGAAATTGATCTCAGTGCATCAGCATGTGCATATTTATCAGAGGAGTTGTCTTACTTTTAAATGAAATCAATTACAATTTTATCTGGATCTTTTTTTTCTAGGTTCCCATAAATTGTCTACCTCCTCCTTCACATTCTCTCCCTTATTTTCCATTTTCTCCACAATCTCTCTTTCCTTATATCCTCTTTTACCTCTGCTGTTGTACATTTTCATCCATTCAACCTTTCTCCATCCTCCTTCATTTGCATCCATATCTCCCCCTGATTATTCATAAGTTATCTGTATTGATCTGATTCGCTCTGTCCTTCTACCCTTTCTTCTTCTTTCTCTCCTCCCCACTTAGTGCCCATTCAAGCGGGTGTGATCACAGGGGCCATCATTGGGGTGGTACTGGGCCTGCTGGTGCTTATTGTGGTCATCTACTACCTGATGAGGTTCCTGGTGGCGCGTCGGGTCTTCAGCCTTAGCGTCAGGTCAGTGCCTGGACTTTGGAGTCTCTGCAAGGGGCGGGAGCAGAGGCCAGAGCCAATCCCTGGCACCGACACCTGTCTAGCCAAGGCGCTTTGATTTAGGCTGAATCCCATTTCACCTTTTGCCTGAAAATCTTAGCACTCAAGCCTGTGTTGCCATGGGTTAGAATGGTTTGGCCGAATGACTCATAAAAACAAAATCTCATTGCCTTGAAAGCAAATATATAATAGCTGCTCTTGCATTAAACCATTTTACCATCACACAAAGATAAATACCAGCTTTAACCTTGCACTGCAACTTGAATTGTCAAGAGATCTGAGTTCAGTGTAAAAAAAAATCCATCTTGAAAACTCGCTTATAAATCCATCTCATAACAACAAGCAAGTCGGACCAATGACAGCGTTTTTTTTTTTTGAGCAGGACATATAGGAATGACAACAGTCAGAGAGGCCTTGCTGGGGAATTACAAACACGGCTATGATGGAGGACTCACCTGGTTGTAGCTAAAATAGCAACAATTTCTTGTTTAAAAAAGGAGCAAAGAGAAACAGTTTGTGCATTTGTAGATGGGAAAATTGCCTGTGCTTTTCTCCTGACAGAATTTCGAAAAAGTTGATCAGCTTATGAAATAATACAGCTGAAAGTGTATTATGGATGGCGGGTACTAGCTGCTCTTACGTCACCCAATCAGCTCAAAGTATTGTATAAAACGTTCCTCCTTTTCATGGACAGACTAAAATGCTGCCAGATTGATAACATAGAACACAACTCAGTTCTACACACGTCAATCTGGCTACTGCCAGGTTAATCCAGCTTTACCGCTGTAGTAGCGATAAATCGACCGCTAGCTAAGCCAGGCTGCGCAAACACATATATCAGCCACTGCAATGAAATTCATCCAGATGTGTTCCAAATTTTATGTACAGCATTGACCCAATATGAAAATTACTTAATACCATGCAACATTATGCAAATACTTTGTATGTACTGATGAAGATTTCGCTGGAAGAAGAGATCACTGTTCTGGTAAAATAATTCGGGTAAAATTAGGATGAGCCAGGGGCAATTATAGAGGACAAAAATCTAATTCTCCCCATATATGAGTTTTCCCTTTAATTTGAAAATAATATGGATTTTATTATTAGATGGGGACATCTCTTTGGGGGGTGGGAGTGTTAGCCTATCAGTTAGAGCAGTGCACTTGGGCCCTGAGAAGGTTCGATCCCCACAGCCTCCACTCTTGGTCTCTGAGCAGGGCCCTTAACCCCACATTGCTCCCTGTGTGCCGCACAATGGCAGCCCACTGCTCCCCAAGGAGATGGGTTAAATCCAGAGAGTGAATTTCTCCATTGTGAGATACATAAACTTAAATTATTATTATCATTATTATTGCAGTGTAAAATAGCAATAAACCCCAACGTTGAGCATTCACACTCTTGATCCCAATAGACCTTATTCCTATTAGAAGCGCATTAAAAGCAAATGCATTGTTCAAAAATATGACTTGACTAAATCTTACTCAAAATGTCACTTCTTATGTTTAGAAATACTAAACAGTTGGTAGAAGGTATTTTTTTTTTTTTTTACAACTTGATAATATATTTTTGGCTAGCAGGCTGTTAAAACATCATTTTTTGGAAAAAATAAATTAGATTAGCTTTTATCTGGGATGCTTTTTTGGCAGTATTTGGTCGCTACAGGAGAGGTAAGGGTTGGGATAACCCTAAAAAAAATGGGATTCAGCCTCAGTTCTTTTATTTACAAGAAAAAAAGAAAAGAGCTTTAATATTAGGAGGCGATAACAAGCTTTAGATTAGATATGATCACCAAAACAGCAAGCATAGGTCCAAAGTAGGATGATTAAAAGTGTGAGGGGACATTCTCTGAGTGGATAATCCACCAGATCATGACGATGATGGATCCATTGCCTTGCAAATTCCTTTCTCATCCTAAGACATCTGGCACCTGGGGGCTGTGTCTGAGACAGACCAGTAGATTAAGATGATGCTCTCTTTATTATAGCTGGCAGGCAGTGCTGCCCTGTGACCACTGGAGGGAGAGATAGATTCGACATCCTGACATTGTCTTTCTTTTGTCCCCTCTAGCAAACATGGCAAGAAAAAGAAAGAGGGATCACAGCAGAGACAGGCAAGTTTCCTTTCTCCTTCTCCTCCACCTCTTTACTCCTTCTACACTCCCTCCCCTCCAGCACCCTCCTCCCTACCTTCCTCCTCTCCCACACATGCATCAAATGCAACAGATTGGCCCGCTGTCATCATCAGACATGGTTTTTGGAAAGATTACAATAGCATTCAGTGATTGTTCGGAGAATTTGGGATCAGGAAGCGCGTTGTCAAAGGGAATATTCATCTCTTTTGTAAAGCAGCACAGCTGACATGACAGTGAATAGAGGCATACTTTTGTAATCGCATTTCCCCCCAATAGCAGTGCAGGCAGCTGCATTTTTGCCTCACACTCAGCAGACTCCGCCTTACAGTAACATTACAACAAAATAACATGCCATTCAAACCCTGCTCCCCTCTAGCTTTAATAACGGCATTCAAGCTGGTGAAATCCTCTTGCTATCTCAGCGTTCAGCTGGGCTTTCTATCCTGTGGCCCTCGCCCTTTTCTTCATTTCCCTCCGGACGGGGGGGCCCCAAACAGCCCTGGGCCAAAAAATCAACGTAGCGGCTGTGAAATGACCCAGTCTGGGTTATGGGGACTAATGCCGGCGCTGTGGACTGAATGGAGCTGTGATTTGCTCGCAGTGGGGAGACAGACAGGAGCTGCTGATTTCGCTCCCTGGGAGTCAAATAAAAAAATCACTGGGCCTATTATGGTCCAGGCTGTTATCAGTGCTTTTACGCTGCTGTGCTCCAACCATGTTGGATTTCTGTTTTTTTTTTTGTGTCCCCTTCTCTTCCTTGTGGGAGTGCGATCGCCTCAAGAGGTGGATTAATCAGACTTTTTTTGTGGCTTGTATGCTTTTGTGAAAACAAGCCACCAGGGCAAGTTGTGTTTGATTACTCTGCGGTGATGTGGTGGGCTGCAGGGTTGCGTGGGAGTATTGTAATCGACTAGAAGCAGCGTGCTGATAATGAGAGGGGGGGAGAAAAGTACGTCAGGGGAGTTGAGTTCAAGGCATTTTTGTCAATTAAAACTCAGCTTTGAAACGGGAGACGCGCGAAGATACCCAAGTCGGGAAATCAAAGGTGCTGCTGTGACAGCTTTGTCATTTAGCCGCAGGTAGACTGAGGTAGCGGTATGGCAACACATTGTGACATATAATCAAACCACACACATATCTCTAATTACTCTTTTTAGATACTGTAGCACTAATAGCTTTCCTCTGAGACTAAATTACATTACTTATCAGGGAATTAAAGACCTCCAAAATATATTCCGTAAAAGTTTTAAAAAAAATCCACTGGACTTTGTTTCCAAGGTTTGAAGACGTTTCGCTTCCCCTCCTGGAAGCTTTCTCGAAACGTCTTCAAACCTTGGAAACCAAGTCCAGTGGATTGTTTTTTAAACTTTTTCGGAATGAATACGACCTGGATGACCGAGAATTTTCATCAGCATAGATATAGTTGCTACATGTAAAAAATTGGAATTCATTAAAAAACTTACCAGTAAAGCTCTGGCTAGAATAAACCTGTAAGAAAAAGAGTCCCAGTAAGAAACATTCCAGACATTAATGTGACACCTATAATTCAATTATAATCTCAGCATGTCATTGACTTCTGCAGATTCCTGGTAATGAGCTATCCATATGTTTCAGGTGTTTTGACAGGTTGGAAATCTGTGACTCTCAAGGGCTGTAGTGGGAATTTCTCACCTTATGTCACAAAAGGCACATGTGGAAACCTGTTTTTGTAAAAGCAAATTTGGATTGATTGATGATTTACAACAAAAAAAGACCCCAAAACTGATTGTTTTTACTCTGCAGGTGACAATCTAGATGTAAACAGGGCTTGGTTTTTTTCTGAAATGTAGCTTCAGAAATGTGCTTTTTAGGTTTAAAAAGATGCTATAATGTTCTCATGTGAAAACCAACGACTGTAGATAAGTCTGAAATAACTCACACTGCGTCACTAATGAACTCCTGTCTTGCTCCTAATTCAATTAATTAAAATTTATTTCAATTCAGTTTATTTATATAGCACCAATTTCAACACATTTCACCTCAAGGCACTTTACAGGAACAATTCAGTCAGGGTTTTGTCATGGAAAACCAGCTGAATGCATCAAGTCACTGACTTGAAAGACATGTTCCTCCTAGATGAGCTTGTGGCAAAGATTTTGCATTATGCATTTGACTCTTCAGTAATCCCTCACACTGAGCATGCATGAGGCGAAAGTGGAGAGGAAAAACTAATATAACCTGGCTCAGTGTGAGGAGCCTTCTCCTTCAAGGAGATAGAAGCAGACATATAAAAAGAAGCAGATATCCAAAGGTAGTTGTTAACTAGCTCCACAAGAGGCCCTGTCCAGGAAAAACACAGTCAGGCAGACAAGCTCTGAACCAGTTCTCATTTCCAAGGATAAAAGGAGCACATACAGTTAGTCACAGTAAAGGAAACAGGACTACACTCTTGCTACTCCTCCTCTTTACCCAGAATTTCTGGGCATATGATAATTTAAATAGGAAGTTGCCTCATTAAGGCTAACATTAGCCTCTTATTGCAGCCAGGTTTATATAAGACAACATAGATCGATCTATTTATTACAGATCAAGACATTAACCCATAAACATTTTAAAGAGAGCGCTTTTATGTTAAATAAACCACAAAATTTCTCTCAATAATGATTTACTCTTTTAGGATTTTTTCCTAATTTTATTGATTTTTGGTCAATGTTTTCAAGTGAAGTAGATGCTCACATGCAAAGGCTAATGTTACCATGCCTACTGTCTGCTACTGATAATTCAGCCCATAATATTTCTCAGAGTAGTTCTGCTTCAAAATTTTGAGCATTGTAAAAAGGCTTTAATCCGTTTTCTCCCTTATAGTGGTGCAGAGCCAGTCACATACAGCCTCTGTTTTTCCTTTGTATCAATAATGGAAAGAAAGGTTGAAATGTTTTTAAAAAAAAAAGAAACTTTCAGCAACATGATACATTTTTGAAAACCCTCCACATTAAAATGTGCTGTATTTTATTTTCCAATTAAGCTGCAATGCTGACTGTTTGGTTAACAGAAGGCTGCAGACAGTATTTCAAACAGCTGGGATTGGTGATTGGTGGAGGAGTTTCATTATGTATGTAGATAGTGATGATAAGAATGTGGGTTGATGGGACCTTAATATGTGTAATCTTTAAAAAAAAAAAAAAAAAAGTAAAGTTTAAATATCTATTTTCTTTTTTAGTGGCAGGGCAGCATATCTACTGCAGACTTTAACTAAAAATTAACAATCGCAATCAGTATTTCATACACATATAAGAACCTAATGACCTCACATTTCAAATTAACATGAAATCAACTTTTTATCAAAGATACCTTTAAGAGCAATTATTTATTTAATTTTTTTTATCCATTTAATTATTTCTTTTAATCCTGAATCCCCAATTTAATCAAAAATATCTTCTGCTTATCAGTGTCATTCAAGACAATAGGCAGAAGTTTAATAAACAAACACAGAGGATGGTAAAACAGGAATTTCCAACACTTACTTCGTTTAAACATTGACATTGTCCAGAGTACTTTAAAAGGGCTAAGTGGAGAATAATGCAGGCTATTTATGTTCTAATTCATACTCATCGTCTCCCGCTTATCTGAAACTGGGTCCTTAGGGCAGCATTTCGAGTAGAGGGGCTCAGACTTCCCTGGAGGAAGCCAGAGGTGTTCCATGACCCCCTGAAAGCCATACAGCGTGTCTTGGATTATCCCCTGGTTCTCCTAGTGTGGGACATGCCTGGAACACCTCCAGAGGGAGGTATCCTGTGGGCATCAGAAAGAGACGTTCCAGCTACCTTTTAATGTGTCCCACTTATGGAAGACCCTGCGTCTGACTGGGCCCAGCCACGCCCTGCGACGATTACCGACCCTCAAGCACTTTATATTGAGCTCTAACCAATGGTACCAATGGGAGGCCTTGCCTCTGCCATTACAGGAGATGTCACAGGTCCTCAGTTTTGTAGTTATATCCAGCTTATTTGTAGCATATGGTTGAACGGCAGTTTTTAACCTAACTGCGAATGATCATGGAACAGCTTGAACAATCTTTTCTCAAGACTTGCTTTTAAACTGTATATTTAAGCTGGCTTAGAAATGAAAGCAGAAATGATCCCTTTGCTTCAAACTTACAAGGACAGTCTAGCAGTTTCTAGTTTGCCTGCACTTATATAGTGATATCCAAGATATAAGTTATTTTAACTATAAGCATTTATCTGTGAACCTGAAATCCTAATAAAAATTAACATAAAAACTCATAAAAGATGTCTCATATCCAACCTTTTGATAACAGATAGAGAAAATGACAGCTTGGAAAGTTAAAATGGAACTATAAGCATTGGCTTTGAAGATAACTTCTAAATAGATGTCACACGCGTGTATCTCCTTGCAGCCATATAACACTGAGGGCCACATTTCTCCATCCTGCCTTAAACAAGTTCCCACATCTATACGGAGCCTCTCCTTCTCCCCCCTGTCTTCTGCTCTCCTTTCTACTGTCATGTGATTGTCAGGTTTTTCTTGAGCTGCTCTCAAGTGCCTGCAGCGTGTGACAGTGCATATATGAATAAATAACTCGCCGCCAAGAGGACACTGGAATATTTGACAACGCTGTCATTTACAGTTACTCTCCTGCAAGCCTGTGCTCACATGACAAACACAGAGCAAAAGCAGATATTCTATCTGAGCTCACTCTGCTTTATATTTCTGTTTATTTATCCCCCCCTCCTCTGAGATGATTTGGTTTTTGTTGCTAAGCCACACGCAGAGGGACCTTTGGGATTTCATGGCCGGCTCATAAGCGCTTCTTTGATCAAATAGCCCTTATTAGGAGGCTTTGCTGACACTCGGTTTTATTTAATTATTTTCTATCTGCCATACCATCTTTGTTTAACTGCGAGCTCGGCTTACCCTACAAATCTCCCAGAATCTGTGGGGCAAGGGAGTAAAGGAGGGATTGCTGGGCACTGTGGTGT